GGCGTTGCCATGGCGACAGCCTCTCCTGCTGCTGACGGGGGGCGGGGGCGGCCCTGGGAAGGAGGACTGGTCTCCTGGCCCCCTGCTCCTCCCCTTACTCTCCCCTGGACTTGGATGGGCCCGAGTTGGGGGCAACACCCTGGGGTGGGTGATGCGGAGAGGCTCCCCAGAGTGGGCCCTGGTTGATGCATGCGGGGTGAAAGGGTCGCGGCGCGCACAGTTTGTGCAGCTTGGGTGCTGGCCCATGTGCTCACCCTGGATGCGTGATCTACTGAGTAATGGTCAGGCGGAGAGGGCGTGGGGCAGGGCTCTGCCAGACAGATGGGTGGGGTGACTAAGGGTACTGACTTCTTAGATGGGATCAGAGAGGATAGAAATCCAGCTAGGGTATAGCAGATAGACCATCCTCTTCCCCCCTCCCCAACACCCACACAGACACATAAGGTTAGTTTACCTCTTTGTAAATCTGTAGCGGTGGTAGTAGTGATGGTGGAAGGAGTGAGTGAATAAGGGGCCTAACTGGGCTAGCTTTCTGTTTGTTTTTCCTGCAAATGTTACAGCAACAGGTGCTGTCTTAAAAAAAAAAAAGCGTGAGCTAGGATTGGGGCTTGACTTCGAGTTCTTTGCAAAATATAACTGCGCCTGTTGACTTGGAGGATGCTGAATGTGGCCCCTCATTGGGGGAGGGAGGGTTGGATTCTGTCCTTTGGGCTGGATTTTGCAAATTGATGGTGTCTATCATTGCCTCTACTATAGTTGTCTGGCATTAGCTCTTGTCAGACATTTTACCAGTCTCCCAGCCGAAGGGCAAAAAAAAAAAAAAAAAAAAAACAAAACCTCTGTTTAACTTAGCCCCCCAGGAGGGGAAAAAAAAAAAAAAAAAAAAAGACGAATCCTATTGGCCAAAGACTATGCACTATTTGAACTATAATAGGTTGTGATTGGCTGAATGATTTTTGATTGTAGAGTTTCCACCAGAAATTGGCTTCATCAAATTCTGCTTTATTCTGACTTTATCATACACACAGGCCTTGTTTTAGTGGGTCGTGCCTGGAGCTTAAGTATATTATACCTGAATCCCCTACCACTTAAAAGCCCATTTATAAACAGGGACTTGGAGTGTGACTCCACTAATGTGTGTGTCTGTGATCTTGGTTAGAAACTCACTTGGCTGCCTTTCCTCAGAGAGGTGGGGGGTGGGGGAAGGGAGCTGCCGGGAAGTGATTGATAAGGTTTCCTTTATGGATTCTGTGGTGCTTCACTGGAGCTCAGAGCACTTTGGCAACTTAAGCACTCCAAATTAAAAGCTCATTAACAATTCCCGCCCAAAGATCCTGTAAATAATTGGCTAGCTAGGTCATAGAGCTTGGCTGAGAGCTCTCCTCCCAACTTATAATTCCAAATAAAAGTGATTTTATTCCTTTTCATCTTGAAAAGTGTTTTGTTTGTGGTGGGCTAAGTTGATGAGTGACATTTTCTCAGAGAATCTGAGTAGAATAAAGTCTTAAATGAGTATAGAGTGGTAGACAGGAATAGATTGATTCTAAGCCTAGGTGTTTCTCTGTGCAAAGGGCATTTTGCTAGTTTATAAGGGCACCTCTGCAACTTCTAGTCCTTTGGAAGATCTGAATTAGGTGATAAATAATGACAGGTGTTCATCGATGATTTGATTTGGAATTTGGTTACCTTGATTTTCTAAGAACTTGAGGCAGACCTGGAAGTATCCTGCAAGTGTTTCCTAGTTTATGTGGGCATTTGCAATATGGCTTGTGTGTTTGTGGCAACCCCTCCTCTAATCCTGGCCCTCAGGGGAAAAATTAGACTAGGTCAGCAAACTTTTCCTGTAAAAGACCTGAGTTCTGAATATTGCCGCCCTTACTAGTGTCCTCTCCTTGACTAGACCAGGATTCTGGGATTATCCAGAGAGCATACAACTTTATGGTCTCTTGCTCAGTCCAAGCTTAGATATTGTAAATGTTTAGTGTTCCTAGGAGGTAAGTCTCTTAGGAAGAAAAATATGCTACTAGAGAACATAAAATTCCTCATTCCAAAAATATATACTACCAGTAGCTTCTGAAACCTCTATACAGGCACTGTCTTCCACATAGATGGCTGTTATCCCAAAGTAGTTTGAGTTTAGGAGTTTGAAGTATACTGGTGGTCTTTACATTTTTTCATATAGCAGCCCCATGAGGATTTGATCCTTTGTATTGAAATAGACTTGTTGCAGAGATGTGTATTTATCCACAGCATTGGGGCTTTCCAGCTTTCACAGAACCTTCAGCATCCCCAGCTACCAGCCTTGGCATCTTCGAAGTAAGGAGAGGTGAGAATTCTGCTGCATGGTCAAGTTTGGCTTGACTTCTTCTTTATGAGTATTTGAGCTTGGAGGGTGAGGGGTCGGGGCGGGTGCAGATTGTATTTGTGTATAGCTTTTTCTAATAAGACACCATATGGTCAAAGACCACTGAAACTTACCCAGAGTCTATGTGTGTGAGGGTTGGAGGTAGGGTATCCAGACTCTCAAGTTCTGTCATGATTTCTTTGTGGGCATTTCATGAACACCTTTAGGTTCAGAAAGGTTTAATAAGCTGGAATAGTTCTTTATTCTGAGAAACAAACATCTTTAGACAGTAGGAAGGAACACATTCATTTGACTTTTATTAATACATTTGACCAAGGCCTTTGGGATCATGGTTTAAATTGGGTTGTGAGTCACCTTTGGGTGGATGGTTAATCCCAACCTGTCTCCATTTTACTCGGATTGGGGCTAGCTAAAAAGGTAGACTCCGATGATTGATATCCAGGATTTCAGAGGCTGTTTCTTTCGTAACTAAGGGCCAGACATTTTGCTAGGTCCTGGGAATGTGGTGCTAAATAAGATAGCTACTTCCCCTGACCAAAGAGCTTACAAATTCATGGGAAAGACAGATAGTAAAGTAGCAATTATAATACACTCTGTGAGTGCTATAATAAGGTAAGTATAGGTGCTTTGGGAGTACTCAGAAGGGCCCCTCACCCAGACCAATGGACTTACGGAAGGCTACTCAGGAAGTAACCTCTTCATCTGGAATTAGATGAAAACATGAGGGACCAAGTGTGAAGGTCAGAGCTTTATTGAATTTGAGAAACTGAAGTTTAGTGTGACCGAAAGAGTACTCTGTGGGCAAAGGGTAGGAAAATGGTGAGAAATGAACAGGAAAGGCAAACAGAGGCCAGGACCTTAAGGATCTTAGAAGCAGATGGTGGGTAGGAGAAAAATTAGACTAGGTCAGCAAACTTTTTCTGTAAAAGACCAGTACATATTAAGGTTTTGTGGGTTTCTGTCTCAATTATTTGACTCTACTCAACTCTACTGTAACAACATGAAAGCAGACCTAGTACGAAAATGAATGACATGGCTGTGTTCCAGTAAAATTTATAAAAACAATGGCAGCTGGATTTGGCCCGTGGGCCACAGTTTGCCAGCCGCTGGAGCAGACTCTCATAAGAGCAGTAAGAATTCATGAAAAGGTATTAAGCAGTGGACTGATAATATATGTTTTGGAACGTTTCTCTGATTTCAGTGTTAAGAATGGGTGGAAGGAGACAATACTGGAGCAGAGAGACCAGGAAGGAGACTGGCAGTTACATGGGTAGCATTTTATATTTCCCTCTTTGAGGCAGTATTTTGACACGTAAAGATTGAGTATAACTGAATCTTTGCATATATGTGTATACTTGTTCTCTTTACTGATTTCCAGGCCATCTACTGGAGCTTAAAAGATGTCTACCAAAGAATTTGTTGGTGATACCAGCTCCTATTTCACAGACTAGAAAAGATGTAGGAAGGGAAAGTTTGTGTCAAACGAATGAAAAGACTTTGGGAACTCGTTCCTATTTAAAGAAATAGGAAATTCATGGAGCCCTGGTAGAGATCTTGGTCTTAGGGCTTATAGCTCAATGATGATTGCTTTGAACTTCTTGAACTGTACACACAGAGAACCACCCATTTTCCTAAACTTTCTGGGAATTGCCCTCATTATTGTCCTACTCAGTCTCTCCTTGCTTGTGGCAAAATGATGCCTTTTTTTTCTGGTTTTGGGAATGTTGCTTTGGCACAGGGACCAAATGAAGTTGAGTGTTTGATGAATTGTTTCCTCCTACAAGCCCCAGTGTACTTGCATTGCTGAAGGGAAGCCTGTAGGTTTCTGATACAGTGTTATGTGACCATGGTTAAATGACTTACCTCGCTGAATTTAGCTTTTCTACCTGTAAAATGGATAATGGAATTTACTAGTGTTGGTTAAAGGATTTAATGAGATACTATATGTAAAGCCTTAGCACAGTGTATTTAACTTTTGTTACTAATAGTATTTCACACAATAATTTCTTACAAAGCAGCCAGCAATTGGGTGAGTTGGCCTGTGGCCTAGTATCTTTTGGGTCCTCATAATTGTATTTGTGCCGTATGGTAGAAACATAGACCCTGGCTGAGGCGAGGCAGTCAGCAGACAGGAGGAAGTTCCAACTAAAGCAAGGCACTGCTCTTCATAATGGAACATTTTCAGAGAGCAGGGATCCCATTTAGAATCCCAGAACTTTGTTCAGTGTGGACCTTAGTCCCCATACCATCAGTGAAGCGAATTGAGAGAGCAGCTACCCAAAAGAAATGCACTGAAGTGTGACCAGTCATCTCTCCCCGTAGGTCTGGGTCATTTATTAGTATTGCCACCCTTGTGGCCTCACATCTTTGTAGCACCTCTCGGAGGTCTTTTATTACTTTTCACAACTCTAGGAAGTGGGTCAGGTGGTCAGCATTGTTATCCCTGCTACCCATTGAGGAAAGTGAGGCCTAGTAAGGTTAAGTGTATTGCCCAAGGTCATGCTATAAGGTATCATGAGAGCTAGTACAGATTTGCCTCCAGATGAAATTGTTAGTTTATTGCTGTGATTTCTCTTCCTCTGAGTCAGAGATGTGTAGCCACTGCAGAAATGTGTTCTGATGCATGCCTTATCCAGATAGGTTGGGCTTAATTTGGGTCCCACTTTATCCTCTTGGTCCTGTTGGATTTTAATTGATGGCTGCTAGGAACAGGCCTGTTGAGAAGCAGATTCCCTTTGGGTCATTGTTTTTAGCCCGCCCTCCTTTGGGGACATTCTTGGGGGAGCCTTGGGTTACAAGAGATTGCTTTGATATGTTCAAAATTGTGCCTTGTGCCCCACAGCTACAGGTAAAATCAAAAGGCGGATAATTTATGGGAGTGTCAGAGCTGGCCGCTGGCACCTCAGGAGGCCATTAGTATGCCTGTTCAGACCCTCTGTGTCCTTGCAATTGATTCCTTTTTGCATGAGCTTGATTTGGGAAGCTGTAGATCTGTGGTAGTGATTGGATGTGACAGTCCAAACACTGGTCCCTAAATTAATCCTTTTAATAGTATTCTGGCACCAAGGCAATGTTTCTCCCCTTTCTCTTTAACTGAGAGGACAGAATGGGGTGGCTTAGGAGGAAGAAGGGAGGGAGGGAAGGAGGGATGGAGAGAGGAGAGAGAGAGAGAGAGAGAAAGGAGCTTTGATTGGGACTTAGACCCTGCTCTGCTCTAACATGTTCTGTTTCCAGCCCAGTTGACATTATGACTTTGGGCACATACATTCATTCAGCAAACATTGACTCACACTTGCTTGTGCCTGGCTCTGGACTGGGAATACAGAAATGAATAAGATGTGGTCCTTGCCCTTCAGGATCTATGTCTAGCTCAGTTTTTCTCATACTTTTAAAACTCATGCAATGTTTAGATGGAGAAAACTAATTTTATGCTTTTCTTTAATGCTGCTTGAAATTTTAAAATGCAGCAAAGAGTCTGACCAAAGACAAGTCAAAGAAATTATCACGTCAGATATTATTTTTAAACACACGCACACACACACACAACTATACCTACTATCTTCCAACCTCACCTTCCTGAAAATGGCTGGTAGGAGGAGAACCAGATAGCTAAAATCTTACAGTCTAGTGAGATAAAAGTTATCGAATGAGGATAAACTGTGCTGTTGGATCAATTAACTTTATGATGGTGTCAGAGAAAGCTCCCCAAAAGGGCAGATTTGAGTTGGATTTTGAGGAAGGAGCAATAATTTGCCTGGTGAAAATAGAAGTACGTTTTAAAACAGAGGAAGGAGCATTTGCCAAGGCACAGATTTGTAAAAGAAAACATCTAATTTGGGGAACTGAGCAAGAGCTGATTGTCACCTTGCCTCCTGCCAGTTTCTCTGCTCTGTGCGATGGGGGGATTTGCTCCCCTGGAATTGTTGTAGAAGAGGCTTTGTGTTCCTGTGCTGCAGTTGTTTTAATCCAGGGTACCCCTTCCTGTTTCTGCTTTTTGTACCCAGGACTTCAATGTGTTTTTCTTGTTAGAATATATTTAAAAATGGTTACGAAAACAAATTTGGATGAATTGGACAAACTTAATTATTGCTTGTGGTTGAGTTAAAGTCACACCTTATCTCCCCCTCAAAAAACACACCACACTGAAGTGGATATGCATTGTTATTAGCCTTATGGCTGGCTGATGGGGGAATCAGTCCAGTGGGGAAACATGGGCCATCAAGCATGGGAGAGGAGAACAGGACCCAAAGTGCCTCCGAGCCTCAGTTTTCTCATGTGTAAAGTGGTAATACTGTTACCCATTTTGCTGGATAGTTGAAAGGATTAAATGGGATGAAATATGTAAATTCCTAATAATGAGCCTGTCTTATAGTAGATTTTCAGAAAATGTTGTTTTCCTTTCCTCTTTATCATGTTAACAGCAATAGCTCCCTTTTATTGAGCACTTACTGTTGTGCAGAGCACTTTATATATGTTGTGTGTCTACATCAAACCCCTAAGAGATAAATATTTCTATAGCTATCATTACAAAGAATATGTATTAGAGTTAGGATTAAAACCTAAGCTTGGCTAATACCAGCCTTTTGACAACTAGCTATATGAATGACTCCTTGTTTCTCTATCAGTTCTCCGTCTTGTAAGTAGAAGGTTTTGGGATCAGATGCTGTCTACGAGTGTAGGAGGTGCTTAACAGGGTGAGAGTACCATACTCTGCCCTTCATCCATTTCTATCTTATTTATGATTTGTTAGGAAATAAGCCTTTGCCCCTACTTGTATGCAATGGGGTCAGAATTGACTTGTAGGGTTTTGCAAAGAGATGTTCCTCAGCTTTGGCTCCTCTATGGAATTTGCCAAACTACTGGATGTGGCTGATGGATTGGCAGACAGCAGGCAAATCACAGTCACTTCTTTTTAGTTTATATTATTTTTTAATACATTTTTGTTTATTTTAGGGAGGAAG